ATTATTTGGAAAACTTCTTTAGAGGATTATTATTCTTGGCCTAAAATAGGAATAGAAGGTTGAAAGTAATTTCCTACAGGTATTCGGTTGAAGTCGATTAAGTTTGATCCCAAAATGGATGCCTAACTATTCCTATAAAATGATTATTATCTTGATTATAAATGTTCTCTTGATAATATTTGTAAGTTTCTACATCTCAAGATTTAAACATGTGCACATCAAATATAATGCAGTATGATCGGTCCTGAAAGATAGCTTTCGGGGATAATTTGCAGGCTCATAAAAATCGAGTCTCGCCACAAAACCCTTTTGCACGATTACATTTTTTTTCCTTCTTTTTTCGACTTTGATTGAATGATATCATGGTCAAACTTCTATGTTATAGGTTGACTCTGGTATCTATGACTTTCTTATTGATGTTTTGAGGATGAACTTTAGGGTTTAATGATTCTATTTAAATTTTAAGTGTGAACACAAAAGAGAAGTCGGATGAATGTGGTGTTATTTGAGTGTAATCTCTATGTTTTTAGTGTATGCATTTACTGCTTTACGCTTCGTGTTTTCAACCAAAGGGATTTTCTTAACAACATTGGCTCGATTAGTTACACGCACATATGACTGATCTTGTCTATGAAGGATTTTTTGTGGCAATTATAAATTTCCAATTTTGAAGGGGGATGAAGTCACTTTGCAAAAGGCGCTGAACATTATTCACAAAAACGAACACGATTATGTTGCGCTTCTCTTCTATTCATCTTGGTGTCCTTTTTCTGGACCGTTTAGACCAAGCTTCTCCTTGTTGTCTTCGATCTTTCCTTCCATTCCTCATTTTGCAATCGAAGAATCAGCTGTAAGGCCAAGGTTGTAACCCTAGTACCTCCCAATCTTATGCTATGTTTACCATTATTCCACACTCGACTGAAATTAACATCAACTGTTTATTTTTGCAGCATTCTATCGAAATATGGAGTTCACGGATTTCCGACTTTGCTTCTCCTAAACTCCACCATGCGCATGCGCTATCAGGGTTCTCGCACACTCGATTCTCTCATCTCTTTCTACGATGAATTTACTGGTAAGATTATAATGCAATGGCATAACTTTTATCAGCTCGATGAATGTTTTGACGTAAGAAACTACTCGCTGTATTTCAGGCATAAAGGCGTCAGATAATGGAGTATCTTTCGACAAGATTGGATGTTCAGGAAACAACAAGAAGAACGAAAATTACCAAGAAACCTGTCCTTTCCCATGGGCTAAATCTCCCGAGAATTTGTTTCAACAAGAAACCTATTTGACCCTGGCAACAATTTTTGTGATTTTGAGATTGCTACACTATATTTTCCCGACAATACGAAGATGCACTCGATTAGCTTGGAGGAGGTACACTGTACACGTGAGTGTGAGTAATCTGTGGGAGCATCTTTCTGTCTACCTTAACCAAGTATTGAATTATATCAAGAATCCACGCAAGAAAAGCAATTTGCAAGAAGGTGCGAAAAATGCAAAGGCATGGGCTTCGAAATCTCTAGCCACTGTCTCGTTTGGAGATGCTAGTTCGAGCCGTGACGTGTCGGTAAGTCGGGCCCACTGATGATGTTTATATAGACGAGCTTTTCCTTTTTTTTCTTTTTGTGTTTTTCTCTCGACTACTGTTTTGACAGCGGCTGTGTAAAGATTATCGTGTAGTGAATGGAGCTGCGTTTTGCCTGGAAAATAGGTGTTGTTCGACTAAACAAGACAGTATTGTGAGACATTGTTGTTAAGTCAACACTAACGACACTCGCAATCACAATTGTTTGGTACGAGAACACTCGAAATCCAAGGTAAAACGGTGTCCCAATGTCCGGTGGAGTTTATTCTTTCTTAAAAAATTTAACCGGCAAACGGAATTCTTGTTTGGGGGCTCAATATCTTATGATAGGGCACACAAATGTGTGTGATGATGCAATAGTAAGGTTAATTTCAATGTGATGTAGAATAGAATTTGTTTATTATTCCAGAAAAAAGAAAGAGTCTAGCACATTGCTGTAGATGGTACCGGCTAGTATCGGGAGCGTCGGGGGGTAGATTACTTTTTTTTTTTTTTTTTTTCTTTTTTCTTTTTTCTTTTT